GGTTCAAATCTCACCGACTCAGGGTTGACTCAGCCTTCCATCCTTCCGAGGTGGGTAAAATGAGGACCCAGATTGTGGGGGAGATATGCTGACTCTGTAAACCGCTTAGAGAGGGCTGAAAGCCCTATGAAGCGGTATATGTCTAACTGCTATTGCTATTATAGTGTGTGTGTTTTTTGGAAGTAAAGGAGAGATCACTTCATACCATCTTTTAAGGGAGATTAACAAGGTCAAAATGGCAGGTGTGGCCAGGAATTGAAACTCTTTCTATATAAAGGTAAAAAGTGATGGAGCTTTGTTTTTCAGATCATGCCCACTATTGAAGGCTGAAGCACACACACCTGCAGATTGCCCTGCTATCCAGCTGCAAGGCTTTGTGTATAATTCAGCATGTTAAAAACATATGTACTAATATTTTTAAGGCTATTGTATGGCAATTTGTGTTGAAGATGAATTTCATTGGACACATGGGAATAAAGTCTCAGCAGTCAGAACCAGCACTAAGCTGCATTTCCATGGCTAAGAAGATAGGTCTCAAATGTCCTGGCTTTGCCCATGCTAGTCTGAAACAAGAGATTCAAATGGTTGCAACATGCAAATTTCTGTGGAAATTTCTGAATATAACTGTGGATTGAATCTAGTTCTTTATCTCCCACAGCAAAATAGACATTGCTGGGAAGTACCTGGCCCAAAATCATCTCCAAACATGAGCAAATGTTCACTCACATGATAAATTGATGTCCATCCATATTAATCATATATTTTATTTTAAAATTTAGATTATAAAGCAACCTACAGTTTCTACGTTGGTGAGGAAAAATTATTTTAAATATAGTTGCTTTACAAATTATTTTTTTAATTTGGTAGATAATATCAAAATATCCACATCAACTTAGTCAAGTTTACCACATCTTAAAAATCTCTTCTGTTATCTTGCTCAATGTCTCATTTTCCAGAAGCCAATAGGCTTTCCTGCAAGTGATCCTAACGAACAGAGATTTCCCTCAAGAGGCAAAGAGAGCATGAACATTGCGAGGAAGTGTCTTTGTCATCTGCTGCTGAAATTAAAATTGGAATCTAGTAGTTTTATGCATTTCGGAATATCCAAGGTCAACAACCATAGAGAAATACTGGGTCAGATCCCATGGACAGAAATTCTGAGGTCAAAGGAAATGTGAATATAGGAGGGTTGGGAATTTCTAAAAAATAAGATACTGGAAGTACAATTGCATTTCATTCTAACAAGGAAAAGTGCAGCTAGGAGTCAGTTTAGGAAACCATTAGAGTACTGTTTTCCTTCTTCCTTCCTTCCTTCCTTCCTTCCTTCCTTCCTTCCTTCCTTCCTTCCTTCCTTCCTTCCTTCCTATTTTGAATGAACCACGAATTAAAAGGAACATGTATAGGATAGGGAAATAAGCATGATCACCAAGGAATTGTACAAATAAGTAGTAATATCTGTAAAAAGTAACTTGGGCTAAAGCACTTAGGGAACTCAAGGAAAGCTAAAAATAACAAAATGGACTTCCTGACTATGTAGGAGAGAAAAGGAAGACTACGTCAAAGGAGAGGAAAGAAAGTTAAAAGCCTCTTCCTAGCAATAATAACAAATTGGAATTCATCAGTACCTATTTTGCTCCAGTCTTCTCCCCCAAAGAAAATTGTATTATCCCAAAGCTTATATCTGTTTAATCCATTGTAGCAAGTAGAGTAGATATAAGGGTTCTTCATCTCTTCAATCAGTTCATGAGTGCTTGGATCATTTTAATATATATCCCAAATTATAAACCACTTGAACAAAACATATTTACATATTTCTCATTCATTACTATGGATTTATACTAAAGGATTCGGAAATGTCTCATATTGATTATTATAATCTTTTGTTACACGCACATACACACACACACACACACACACAATTACTTGTACTGAGCTTACATACTAAGCCTAAACTAAAGTGGTGTATGATGCTTAGCTTAGATGTCAATAACTGGATAGAGCACACATGCATGATTATTTCTTCAGCTCCAGAGTTAGATGACCAGGAGAAATATAGATATGGGCAAGTGGGGTAAATGTTGCCTGACAAGGCAATACTTCTTACTCAGAGAAAGAAACGACAAAGCCAAATTCTTTAGAAACCAAGATCTCAGTGAGAACACTATCCATGGACCCACAAATTGGATACAAAAACTCTACTTGAAGATGGATGTTGTCTAACCTTCCATTTCCTACAGTGGCCAGCTGAAGGAGTCTGGGAATCCCACCCTTAGGACAGAAGGGCAATAGCTTGTCCAAGGCTGTTCCTTAGCAACCAGAAAGTCAATGGCAAAGCACACTGACAGGATGCTGAATATGCATTTCTCCCACAGGACTGCAGCTTGTTTCGGCCTTTGCTATGGCAGTGCATCTCCAGAAATCCTCTTTGTTGTAGGTTCTTTCTTTGCTGCCTCAGATTGTTAAATCCAAGTAATTTAAAACCAAAGCATAAACTTGAAAAAACAGATTTTTAAACATAGAAGGTGTTAAGAATATATAATACAGTCATTTTTTTGGCTGCTTTGTTAAAATCTTGGAATTGTTTATTTGTGACTTGTGTTATGCTCTATTAAGAATTCATAGTTATTCATACCACAGGGACAGAGCTGGTTTTAAAACAGCTAGCTCATCTTTTTCATCAAATTTTTTATACATGACAATATGTTAATATTAAGAAAAGCATGGATACATTAAAACAAAATCCTTTGATTGTTAGCAGCTCTGTATAATTAACTAAAATGTATTCACAATACACCCTTGGAAACTTTTTTGTCATAAGATACATCTTTGAGCCAGTTACAAGAAAAATTAATTTCAATATTATTTAAGATTCATGAAAATTAGAGACATCTGTGGGTGGGTTAAAAAATTAAGACGGCGACTTTGTGATTGAAGCAGCCATCTTTAGTCCCTGAATGGAAATACTAAGGAATGGGGAGTACAACAGTACTTGATCATTCTCTTTGCTAGACAATCACTAGTCTTTCTCATAGATACAAAAACATTATGTACACTTTTTTTTACTTTATAGAGAGAAAGACATTACTTGCTTTTTTAAAAATAATAAGTGCTTTAGTGAATGATTTGGTCCAGCATTCTGCATCCCAGAATGGTCATGTATGCTCCCTTTGGATCAGAACATAATTATCAAAACATGGTGCTATATAGCCTTTTTTCTGAATTTGCCTGATTCATTTTTAAAACTAACTGAATTATGCACATCCTAATCTCCTTGTATTTTACTTCAAGGTTAGTATTACATTCCTTTCTACACTTCTACCAGCTTCCTGTCTAATCCAAAAAAACCCTCAGATTTTGTATAATTTTTTCATTATAACTCGTGATTATTTTGATTGTGCCTTCTTGTATTTTTTCCAGCTTACAAAACTCTTTTGAAGAAGTATGACCATTTATGGTATGCATAATTGGTAGCTTAAAATTAATTTCTCAAAGATACCCAAAAGCAAATCAACATTTAGCAAGTGGTCATTTTGAAAAAGGCTTATCAGTCATACACCATCAGTTCTAACAGTTGTAGTACTATGGGTCAATTTATTCTTTTAATATTTTCTAAGCTATGAAATCAAGCTCTGAATTCAATATACTGGTCAAAGAGGCATATTCCTGTGCAACAAAAATATTAACAATAAAAATAAATGACTGAGTAATATTGATCAATAGCTAATACCGTATGATTGGTAAAGGAGTAACATACGAAATTAGTCAGCCATAGTGTAAAACAAAAAAATATACCAGTAGCAACTTTATAACTCTATTGGGAATCTTAGTAGGTGAGTCTCCCTGTCTGAACTTCTCTAAGCTTAGAAGCTAAACATTTTTAGATGTTTGGAGTCTTGGACTTGCAACTTCTAGTTAAGAGCAGGTAATAGTTGTAGCCAAGTGGGCCTTTGCACTGCTTTAGTTGATCTGCCAGTTGTGCCTATTCCTGAATTGTGAAACCCTTTAGATAGTCACTTATGCCTTAGTTACCTCACAGTTGAATTATTGCAGTGTTCTATATGGACCTGCTCTTGAAAATCATTTATAGGCTAAAATTAGTCCAGAATGCATATTGTAGGCTGTACTGTCCATATGATGCTACTGCCCAGGAGCTGTATTTCTTACTGGCGAGCTTCCAGGTACAATTCAAGTATTGATTATTACTAGAAAGTTCTTCATCAATCTGTCTCCTATACTTTTTGCCTTGGTAAGATCAGGCTGAGTCAATTTGCTCTGAATCCCTTCAATCAACAATGGGGGTTGGGATTGGGAAGGAGAGCTTCTTTGTGATTCTTTTGTTCTTTGAAATGGTAACCCCTCAAAAATCCATGTAGCTCCCATGCTAATGATGTCCCAGAAGGTTTTGGGGTAGATTTAAAAATATGACTGTCCTGTCAGACGTTGGGGTTGGGTGCTTGTGGAACTCTGTCCATGCTGTGTTATTTTTAAAAAAATGTATGGTATATGGATGTCTGGACCCTTAGACATTTCATTACCTTTTCTGTTTTGAAAGTGTAAACCATAATTCTGGAGTTGGGCAGTCTCTAAATCTTAACACCACCAACAATACCACCAGCTTGCAATCCTGTGCAACACATGGTGGCTATTATTGTCTACTGCAAAATCTGGGTGGTAATTCTGGCAGAAGGGAGGGAGGGAGGGAGAAGGAGAGAGAAAGAGCAATAATGATGCCCCATTTATCTATGCTTTATTATTTAAAAAGGGAATGCTTTAAGAATAACCAAACATCCTTTTTTAACACCTGACATTAAATGGTTTTGTTCCCATAGACTCTCTCACAAATGGTAACTCCAGCCTGTGATTTATATAAAACTTTCCTTTCCCTTAATTTCACCTACAAAAGCTTCATTCTTCCTGTATGAACCTGCTTTGTCAGTATTTGCTCTGATTTATGGAAGATTTCAACCAAACAAAATAACTATCCTTTTTCTTTTCATTAGAGCTAATCCCCAGAAAGACACTTTCATCTGCCGATTAGTCATGCCCCTGCAAGCCTCAATAACCTGAGGGTAAGTTATTGATGTGTTAAAGATGTAATCGCAAAGGCTCAAGGCAGCTAAAGAAATCTCACTTTTTTATCTAACCATGGCATCATTTTGAGTCATTTTAACCCTGATAGGAGATCCAGTGTAGTAAATCATTATCTTGATCATCGTTGTTCTTACGTTAGCTCTTGCTGTAATTGGTTCATGGTTCCAAATACGTCAAAGGTTAAAATGAGCAAGCAAAAAATGAAATGGCATCCAAATATAACTAATTCAGGAGGTATGTGATGAAGATATGTGACTAATTCTATCGCAGTCTCATTATTAAGCAATGATTATTGCACTCCAGGCAATCAGCCGTGAAAAATGCCAGTTTTTAAAATCAATATTTAAAAGGGTATTATCTTACTTTGAATAAATTAGCTTCCAAGTCTGTTATGTCTTTGTGATACATTGTGGAGTAGCTTGAACTGGTTGATTAAAGTAAGCTAATACAGGTAGTTTGTGACATATAACTGGTCATTTTATGACTGTTTGGAGTTACAATGGCCTTAGAATGGGTGCTTTATGACTTGCACTTCCAGCTATGGCAAAATGTTGCTTCTCCCTCATGGTCACATATTCACACTTTGGTTGCTTGGCAACCCACTCACACTTACGACTCGTGGCAGCATTCTATAGCCATATGACTGTTATTTGCAATGGAATGAATTCATTTAGAAGATTGGGTTTGTTTAACCATACCATTCCCTTAATGACTATGATATGCTTAATAACTGCCATGAAAAATGTCATAAAAATGAGTCCATTCACATGATTTATGACTTCAACATCTGGATTTCCACCCAAATTGTGCTCATATGTCGAGGACTGCCTGAAGCTTTAAAAACTGTTTTAACTGTTTTCTTGTTTCATTTTATAATAACAGGTTTGAATGTTCTACAAACAGAAAAGTAGGATATTTATTTATCTGGTTTATATGATTGCTCATCTCACCTAAGTGGCTCTGGGTATCTTATAACAATTAAAAACAACAATCCAATAAAAAGGTTTTTTTTTTAAAACAGTATATGATATTAATCATACCAAACAACAGCACCAAAAAGAAATGAACTTGAACATATACCAGTATAGCTATTGAAATGTAATTAGAATAGAATAACAGAGTTGAAAGGGACCTTGGACGTCTTCTAGTCCACCCCCTGCCTAGACAGGAAACCCTATACCATTTCAGATAAATGGATATCCAACATCTTAAGAACTTCAAGCGTTGGAGCATTCACAACTTCTGGAGGCAAGTTGTTCCACTGATAAATTGTTCTAGCTATCAGGAAATTTTTTCTCCGTTCTAAGTTGCTTCTCTCCTTGGTTAGTTTCTACCCATTGCTTCTTGTCCTGCCTTCAGAAGCTTTGGAGAATAGCTTGACCCCCTCTTCTTTGTGGCAGCCCCTGAGATATTGGAACACTGCCATCATGTCTCCCCAATCCTTCTTTTCATTAAACTAGACATACCCAGTTCCTGCAACCATTCTTCATATGTTTTACTCTCCAGTCCCCTAATCAACTTTGTTGCTCTTCTCTGCACTCTTTTTTAGAGTCTCCACATCTTTTTTACATTGTGGCGACCAAAACTGAATGCAGTATTCCAAGTGTGGCCTTACCAAGGCCTTATAAAGTGATATTAACACTTCACGTGATCTTGATTCTATCCCTCTGTTTATGTAGCCTAGAACTGTGTTGGCTTTTTTGGCAGCTGCTGCACACTGCTGGCTCATATTTAAATGGTTGTCCACTAGGACTCCAAGATCCCTCTAACTGTTACTACTATTGAGCAACGTACCACATATAATGTACCTGTGCATTTTGCTTTTCTTGCCTAAATGTAGAACCTTACTTTGTTCACCATTGAATTTCATTTTGTTAGATAGTGACAATGTTCAAGTTTGTCAAGATCCTTCTGTATCTTTAGCCTATCTTCTGGAGTTTTGGCTATTCCTGCCAGCTTGGTGCCATCTGCAGATTTGATGAATTCTCCATTTATCCCCTCATTCAAATCATTGATGAAGATGTTGAAGAGTACTGGGCCTAAAACAGAGCCTTGGGGTACTCCACTACATACTTCCCTCCATGTAGATGCAGTTCCAGATTAAAGTACATCTTCTAGAATTTCTGATCATTGCAATGGGAATACACTTCTTCTATTTTCTCCCTACCAGCCCTTCAGATAAAGAAATTACTCTTAGTATTTTTTCCCCAAACTAAACTTGCATAGTTGTTTCAGCCATTCCTTATATGACTTGGTTTCCAACATCCACACTGTTCATTCAGTTACTTTTGTTCTAGATATGCTCCAGTGCCCTTTAAATATAGTGTGTGGAAAATTATAAAAAAATAAATTGAGAAAATGAAACATCCAGAACATATTACAGGGCATTATCACTGCTGCTAGCTGGGTTGGCTTCTCTCTACTTTTGACAAGGTCTATGGCAACTTTTCCTGATTATGCTGCAGATGCCTCCTTAGCAAACCTCTTTGGTTCAGTCCTCCATTGGCTCTCAAGATAGAATAGGGCTAGTTGGCATAAGCTGAAGTCAAAAAGAGGAAATTCATTTGATAAAGAAGACAAGGAAGAACACAAGCACTGCACGGACTGTATATTGCATATAACGTAATGTATACTTTATACATGTAATATATAAATGCAAGTATAATGCACAGGTATAAATTTGGAAATAATTGTGGCAATTTAAATAGAAATCCAATCTTCTATCCATGAAATGAAGATAACAATCCCTGTGTCTATTGTTGTCCAGCTTCCCGATAACTTGGATTAGAGAGCCCTTTAAATGGACAGCAAATTTAAACAGTCTGCCAAATAGAATGGTATCCTATTTAGCAGTGTATGTCGACCTCAGTAAGTTTAAGGCAGAGGTGGATTACTGCCGGTTTGGCAAACCAGTAGTAGCGGCAGCAGGAGGCTCCACCCACCCACTCGGACATTTCTGTACATGCGCAGAAGTGGCGCATGCACACCCGAACCAATAGTAAAAAAATTAGCAACCCACCTCTAGTTTAATGTATCTGGGATTCAACTCCCAGCATTCCCTAATCCTCTAAGCACATCTTAAAGTTGCTGAAGTTGAGAAACACAGCTACAGACAGTAGGAAATAATTTTCAGGAATATTCTTAAACATAATCTGCAATAACAAGGGCAATCTGAATTAGCGAGGAAAATCTCTGCTCTGCAAAAATCATCATCATTCTCATCATCATCATTTTCTGTGTCACTTATTAGTTCTAACTCAAAGTGTGCTGGTTACTCCCATAACCTGAATGGTCTGTGTGGGGCAATCTCAATGGAATACTTTTGTTTATGCAAAGCAAAACAAGAAGCCAGATTTTTCTTCATATGAAGAAATGCCAAATGTCTTCTATGTTCCTTGGGAAAAAGACAAGATAGGTAAAAGCACAAGGCTGACAATTGCTACTTTACGTCATCTCATACTCTCCCTCCCACCTGGGAAAATTGGAGGTTGGACAAAGTGATAAATACTACTTCTCATTGCTGGAGCTTTTAGGAGGATTCTCGATTGAGACCCAAATAGGAGGACAGCCAACCTTGATGACCAGACTAAGTCTATGGTCAATGACAATTACTAATTTATAAGTTATATATATACATATAAACTTCATGATAATGAAGCTACAGCTAGGTTCAGGCCTTCCTAGTTCTCAGCATCAATAAAGTGTAGTGCCTTTCACACAATGTTGGCTCCTGGATATTGCAGAATGCTTTTAATAGTAAGCCAGAAATCAAATGAAACATTTGAGAAAAGAGGTAGGAAGAGTCAGCATCTAATAATGAAAGAATTTGGAGTAAAAGTAATGTGTATTTGAGAAAGATAAAGCATTGATAGCATAAACAGTATTGTGAAGGGGAAAGGATTGGGAAAGAAGTCAAGAGTTATTAATTTATCAAAAGACATTTTGTATATATTTCGGTATCTCTTTTTTCAATTTGTTTTCTCTGTATTCCCTTATTTTTCTATTCCTTTTCAAAGAAAGACCTCATTCCACAGAGTGCTTTTACAGTAACTGCAATCTAATTATTTTAAATTATCATGTTTGTTTTTCTTATGGAGTTTCAGGGTCATGCTCTGTGGTCCAAGTTCCCATATTTCGGTCAATAAACAAATGACATCTGGCTTCCTTTTACTTGGAAAGAGATACTTCCTGTTGTCTTCCTTCCTTCCTTCTAACTCTAAATTCCTGAAAATATTATATTTGAAAATGATTTTAACAACCTTTTATTACACAGCCATGCAAAATCAGGGCTTTTCCTTTATAGTCAAGGAACTTCTTTTGTCATTCTAGGTTTTAGTAAGATATTCAGAGGAAATTGAGTGGAATTTGATCGTACAGTTATAAGTCTCAGTCATAAATATGGGAATGTAATGAACCACAATCGTTAGCCAAAGAGGTCAAACCTCTTTGAGAATATTTTGCTCAAGAATACAAATTTCATGAACCCTGGATTATTGACCTGCTTTTATAAAAAGAAATACAAGCACGCAAGTATGCAGTCCATTTTTTATTAATAAAATTAATGTTTTATTTCCACAGGCTCTAAAATTAAGGACACAAATTCCTTGGAGACTGCAGTTGCATTCTAGTTTTGTTCATGTGCTTCCTGTAGACAACTAGCTGGTTTGAATGCCTTTGATAGCTACCAACTGAGTTTAATGGTGGGGATGGGTGTAATCTTTTAACAGCTATTGGTTATGATATCTATTTGTTGCTTCCAGCGTCAAAGATAATTTGCCACTGAAAGCCCATTATTGTGAAGGAGCACTTTGCCATTGTGCTGTTCTTGTGGGCTTCCCATGAGTCACCATTAAGTAACACTGTAAGAACAGAATCCTTGATTAGATTTCCCACTAGTCCTTATATTCTTTCATTACGAAAATAAGGAAGTAACATAATTAATAGGAAAGACCCAAAAGAGCAAGGGTAGCTAAAAGTT